GGTCTAGATAGAGTCCAGGGTATGGGTGAGGGCGCAGGGCGCAGACCCCAGCACCCGAGCCCTCTAAGGCCTCTCGGCCCTGTACGCGCCATAAGGCCTGTAAGCCCTACGTTTAGGATTTAGGGGTTAGCACACAGACCACACGCTACGCTGCGGCCAAGGAGGTTCCATCTGTGCTGCACATGCCGACACTTGGTCGGGGTTCTGGGCGCTTTGTCAAGCCGAAGAGATGGTAAAGATCCACACCAGGAGCCAGCAGGAGAAGACCAATCATAAGGTGGCACACGTCAAGATGATGGCGAAGTATTTGTCCTACACCAAGGGCATCAAGAACAAGTGTATGGTGCCAGCTCCTTCTTCAGGTTCCTTGTCCTTTGTCGGTTACCTTAGCGGCAGAAGAAGGCGGTGGCAGGATGCGGCTACACCTCTCATGCTGCCTCAGTCCGTGATGATGCGATGCAAAAGTTCGGGTGTCCGAAGAAGAATTCGGATTGGACAGGTGTTGATGCCCATTACCAGGACAAGTTGATCTCTTCCATGTTTTCATTGACGGGAAGAGAATTTGAGGAATTCATGCGCAGAGCGGAGACAGGTTTGACCTGAGATGAGCGTGATGTGACGTGTTGCGCTACTGCAGTATGCCCGATAAACGAGACACCCTCGCTACTTGGAGGTTCATGGTACTTTTTCACCAATGATAACTGTACTTATAACTGTACTTATAAGCCCCTCAAGTGCCCTAAGATGCTTATAAATACACTTATAATTGGTTAGTAAGCACCATGAACCTCCAAGTAAGGCTCTTCTTATAGGGTTCTTAAGGGAGGGGGTTTCAAGGGGGGGTTTAGGGTTTATGAGTTTAGGGTTGTTTTAGGTTTCTTATGATTTGCCTCCAAAGGAAGATCGGCTAAACCCTCAGCCTTCCAAGCGGCCTGACGGAAGAAAGGCTCGAAGGCTTTGGGAGGTTTTAGGGGGTTCAGGAGTTTAGGAACCCTAAACCGAAAGCCCTAAACCCCTAAGCCCTAAGCCCTAAGCCCTAAGCCCTAAGCCCTAAGCCCTAAGCCCTAAGCCCTAAGCCCTAAGCCCTAAGCCCTAAGCCCTAATCCCTAAGCCCTAAGCCCTAAGCCCTAAGCCCTAAGCCCTAAGCCCTAAGCCCTAAGCCCTAAGCCCTAAGCCCTAAGCCCTAAGCCCTAAGCCCTAAGCCCTAAGCCCTAAGCCCTAAGCCCTAAGCCTTGGCATGTGTGAGGCCTTCCTTCACGACGGTGACCCTCTTCTGAGAGTCGCCACTGGTAGGAGCTCAGCAAGCCCGAAATCCTAAACCCTAAACCCCAAACCCTAAACCCTAAACCCTAAACCCTAAACCCTAAACCCTAAACCCTAAACCCTAAACCCTAAACCCTAAACCCTAAACCCTAAACTCCACACTTCAGCTCATGTTCCACAAGTGGGACTTTAGGGCCTATAGGGCGGTAAAGCCCAATGCGCTCAACGATGGAATTGAGCTTCGTAGGCATTTTCGGTTTCACGTTTCACTGGCAGCGCGGCAATCTCTCGGCAGAGGCCCTCTACTAGCGAGGCCCTTGGTATCTAGTCTGTGTTTTCCCTTGATGGGTTTAAGAGCATGATACTTAGGCACATTCTTGGTCTATAGTTAATGTTTTCCCTTACTTGGTGTAAGAGCATGACAATTAGGAATACTTTGTTCAGAGGCCTTCAAGGGGCATCCTTGGTCTACGACGGGTCCAGGGGGGCTCGGGGTTTGTGTAGCTTGCTACCTCAAAGCCGAAAGTCTGAATCCGAAGCCATTAGTCTGGGGTCTACGCTCTCTTCCCCGAAGCCTGAATCCTAAACCCTAGACCCTAAACCCTACCCCCTAAACCCCAAACCCTAAACCCCAAAACCACAAACCCCAAACCCCAAACCCCAAACCCCAAACCCCAAACCCCAAACCCCAAACCCTAAACCCTAAACCCTAAACCCTAAACCCCCCTAGTCTAAGAGTGCCCCTCTGCTCCGGGAAGTGGATTTGCTGCTTACGCTGTTTGGCGGCCCCCTCTCTGAAACCAAGGCTGCTCCAAAGCATGATTTTGGGTTTTGGGGGTCTAGGGTTGGGGTTTAGGGTTTAGGGTTTAGGGTTTAGGGTTTAGGGTTTAGGGTTTAGGGTTTAGGGTTTAGGGTTTAGGGTTTAGGGTTTAGGGTTTAGGGTTTAGGGTTTAGGGTTTATGGGTTTAGGGTTTAGGGTTTAGGGTTTAGGGTTTAGGGTTTAGGGTTTAGGGTTTAGGGTTTAGGGTTTAGGGTTTAGGGTTTAGGGTTTAGGGTCCCTAGAAAAGTTTGAGCCCCAAGCGCCGCAAAATGGCCGGGCTTCAGCTCAAAGATTCGGGGTTTTGGCTCATGAGTTTCGGGGTTTGGTTGTCTTTTTTTTTAAAGGGCACCCTCAGCCCTCAGCCCTAAACCCTAGATCCGAAACCCTAAGCCCTAAGCCCCAAGCCCTAAGCCCTAAGCCCTAAGCCCTAAACCCTAAACCCTAAACCCTAAGCCCTAAGCCCTAAGCCCTAAGCCCTAAGCCCTAAACCCTAAACCCTAAACCCTAGACCCTAAACCCTAAACCCTGAACCGAACAGCTACAGCTGGAAGACATCACAGGGCTGAAGGCTGTCTGCAGACTCTGGGTTTAGGGGTTTAGGGTCTAGGGTTTAGGGTTTAACTAGGGTTTAGGGTTTAGGGTTTAGGCTTTAGGGTTTAGGGTTTGGGACTTCTTAATGCTTCATCGCTCCTCGTCCCTAGGCTGTTGGCATTGTTTGGAACTTCGACAAAAGCAGCTGGAGGAGAGGGGTCAACCGCATTTGGTCAGTTTTGCATGTTCGCCCTCCTGAAGGGAGGGTCGAATACAAGAATTCGGGTGATCGCTCTTTCCCTAAAACCCTAAAACCCTAAACCCTAAACCCTCAACCCCAGCACCCCCAAAACCCTACACCCTGAACCCTAAACCCTGCACCCTAGACCCTAAACCGGAAGGGTGCGACCAGGCTTGGTGAACTTCCGAAGGTATCGCAAGGCCCTAGTTGGGTTTAGGGTTTCAGGGTTTAGGGTTTAGGGTCATGGTTAGGTTTTTTTTTCAGGGAGTTTTGATGGCCATCCTAGCTCAGGGCTTTATAGAGTTTAGGGTTTAGGGTTTAGGGTTTAGGGTTTAGGGTTTAGGGTTTAGGGTTCCTAGAGCCTTGGGTTTGATTTAGCCCGGTGGCGTACAGCCATCTTCGATCCCCCGAATCTGCCAAGCCTGCCGGCCCTGTGGGAGTCGAATGGTTTCCGCCCCAAAGCCCTACTGTAAACCCTAAACCCTAAACCCTGCACCCTAAACCCTAAACCCTAAACCCTAAAACCTAAACCCCAAACCCTAAACCCTAAACCCTAAACCCTAAACCCTAAACCCCAAACCCTAAACCCTAAACCCTTTTGGGCTCCAGGATCCTTCTGGTCTACAGTCCCTCAGGGATACCCATTGTTCCCTACTAAACAACGAAACTAAGATTAGTGTCACGTAGTCGCCGGCGCCGAACCCCTCAACCCTCAACCCTGAACCCTCAACCCTCAACCCTCAACCCTCAACCCCCAACCCTAAACCCTGAACCCCTAACCCTTAACCCCTAACCCCTAAACCCTAAACCCTAATCCCTAAACCCTAAACCCTAAACCCTAGACTCCAGCGGCCGGCATGATGTTGGTTTCACAAGGCGTGGTCGGCCGATCAGGCGCGGCAGAGGCGAAGGAAAAGGCCAGCTGAGGGTTTAGGGTTTAGGGTTTGGGGTTTGGGGTTTAGGGTTTAGGGCTTTAGGGTTTGAGGTTTATAGGGTATAGGGTTTAGGGTTGGGTCGCAGAATGCCCCAGGATGTACTTTGCGAGCTGAGGGTTTAGGATTTGTACGGATTAGGGTTACGGTTCAGGGTTTAGGGTTTGGGGTTTAGGGTTTAGGGTTTGGGGTTTGGGGTTTGGGGTTGGGGGTTTGGGGTTTAGGTTTAGGGTTTGGGGTTTGGGGTTTAGGTTTAGGGTTTAGGGTCGTGAGCTTGCTCGCTGCCCTGAGCCTCCCAAGGTTACCACAAGCGTGCGACGTCGCTCTTCGTCAAAGCTGAGCTTCCTCTTCCCTTCATGTGGGTAATTATTCTCAAAAGTAGGTACCCTTATTGGCTGCCTTTATAGTACGGCACCTTCTAAAAGAAACAAAGGACCCCCCGAAAACGGGACGCCATACAATGGAGAAGTATCCCCGTGGGTAGTCATCTAACCGGATGAGGGTCGCTTTTTTTGGGACGGCACCCTACAGGCAGGAACCCCCAAAAGGGACCCGAATTTGGAGAACGACCCATGTGCTGCGAGTCCTGCGTGGCCCTTTCAAGACTTCTCGACTCCAACGCACATGCGGTTTAGGGTTTAGGGTCTCATTTGGTCCATTGATTGTGTTGGGCATCCGTGTTCCGTGGTGTTTCCATGCTCTTTTGCTTTGCGCGTATAAGCGCACCTGCGGGCCTGCAGGCGTCTGCGCAACGGTCCTGAGGTAGAGTTTCAAATTTGAGGGCTGCTCACGTCGGCTGCCCGTGCTTCCCTAAACCCCAAACCCTAAACCCGAAATCCAAAGTTCTAAACCCTACACCCAAAACCCGAAAACCCACAATGTAAACTCGGCAAGGGTCGCGTTCGAGTCGAGAAACAGACACGGACGCCTTTGACGTGGTTGGCCTGGCTCAGGATCATGAGGGCATTCTCAACCACAGCATTTAGGGCTTCTATCCCTGCAAGCCCATTGTGAACCTCAAGCCCTCTAAACCCAAACCCTCAACCCTAAGCTCCAAACCCTCAACCCCAAACCTCAGACTCAAACCCGTGAGGGGCTCTCTTAGCGGCTTACATAAGGGCTTAGGTGTTTGAAGAGTTTTAGACTTTCGGGTTTAGGGTTTAGGGTTTAGGGTTTAGGGTTTGGGGCGTTTGGGCTCCAGCTCTGCCGTTGCATGGCGCTGGGCCGGCTGACCGAGGAGGAGTACCGCGCGCTCCTTTGTCCCGAAGCCGAAAACGCCGCCTTCTTCCTTAAACCCGAAACCCTAAAAACCTAGTAGCTTAGTACCCAGAAGCCCCCAAAGCCCAAAAGCCCAATTCCTCAAACCCGAAGTCCTAAAAGCCTAGTACCCCCAAAACCCCCCACAAGCCCCAAAGCCCAAAAGCCCAAAAGCCTAAAAAAACCCTAAACCCCAAGACCCTAAACCCCAAACCCTAAAAGTCCTTAACCCCCACATAACTAGGATGCCCAGTAGTGCCCTTATTCCCTTTTTGGGGGGTTTAGGTTCCCTTATAAACCCTTTTACGCAAAGAAGGGCACCCTTTTTACGCCTAGCAGCCTAGATACAGATCCTTGAGCCCCAAAACCCCAAAACCCGAAAACACCAAAGGCCCCAAAAACCCCAAGCCGAAGGTGGCGATGCAGTCTTTTGGTTGAAGTTGAAGAGATCTTAAGGCCAAAAGGGTTTAGGCTTTGGGGTTTAAGTTTAGGGTGTAGGGTTTAGGGTTCAAGGTTTAGGGTTTAGGGTTCAGGGTTTCGGGTCTAGGGTTTAGGGTTTAGACTTCTGGGTCATGTTCCAGCGCGCTGCGCCTTGAGCTGTAAGCTCGAAGTCCGAGGTTCGGCACTGAGATCATACCCGACTTCCTCTTCCTCACCAGCCAGTTCGAGGTTCCTCTGTATGAAACGGAAGCCTTTTGCTTGTTAGGGTTTACTATTATTTGCTTAAGCAAAAAAACGAAGAGGGAGAGAGAGAGAGAATGCAAAACAGAAACATATTTCCCAAAACGGGCAGTGTAGGGATGATTATCTTCATGTTAAGGGGGTTCTTAAGCGAATAGTGGTTAAGGGTTCAGGGTTTGTATTGCGGTTCTCGGTGAGTGTGTTTAGGCTTCCTTGTAAAATCTTGGTGAGTGATGGTACTTGGCATCCTTTTGGGGCATACTGGCTGGGATGTTCCCCCTTATACTAACAGTCCTTAATAGGGATTATAATGGGGGGGGTCCCTAAACCCTAAACCCTAAAACCGATTATGGTCCCAATAAGGGACTGTTACTGGTAGTATAAGGGGGAGCATCCCAACATGCCAGCAATAAAAAACAACGGTGACATGCTTGAGGGCTCTGCCAGAGTAAGTTGGAAGAAGATAGAGCAGCCCGAGCCTTTTGGGGTTTAGGGTTTAGGGTTTGGGGTTTCGGGTTTAGGGTTTAGGGTTCAGGATGTAGGGGGTGTTATTTCGGCCAAACGGTTTCAGGGTTTCGGGTTTGTCAGGAAGCCGACGTTTTCCTAGACTGTCGTTTCAGCCCTGAGCCCTATCAGCTCAGCCTCCGAATATAAACCCTACCCTAAAGCCTATAAAGCCTGTAACGCCTATGTACCCTGTAAACTCTTTAAACCCTATGAACCGTATGACCCCTATGAACCCTGTGCACCCAATGAACCCCATGAACCCTATAAACCCTACAAACCCTGACAATCCTATCAACCCCATAAACCCTGTAAACCCTATCAACCCTCTCAACCCCATCATTCCCTCCTACCTAAACCCTAAACTCGGCCAGGCCAAAGATCCGACCTTCCTCAAGGAGCGCGGCATAACGCCGCCTGGCCTGCAGCTGAACACCTCTTAAATCCCTGTTTAGGGTTCAGGTTTTAGGGTTTAGGTTTTAGGGTTTAGGGTTTGCGGTTTGGGGTTTGGGGGTTTGGGGTTTTGGGGTTTTGGGGTTTGGGAAAATTGGGGTTTTTGGGGTAGGGGTTCAAGTTTGGGGTGTATAATAGGGTTTAGAATATTTTAGCAGCTAGGCGAGGCTTTCGTGGTTCCACACGTGGCGCCGTCAATCCACAGACTGAGCATCAGTTTGGGGCTTGGAATTCCGACCTTAAGCCTAGACACCCGAAATCCTCAACACCCTTAGGTTGTAGGGTTTAGGGTTTGGGGTTCAGGGTTTAGGGTTTAGGGTTTAGGGTTTAGGGTTTAGGGTAACCTCTGAACCCTATAACAAGATGTCTACAGCCGCCTGAAGACGTGTCCGTCCAGAGAGCTGCACGCGAGGCACCTCATCAGCGTTGCAGAGGACTCTGTGTGAGTGTTCCTGGAGAGCAGGATAAGCTCCTGAAGGTTGAAAAAAGCCTAAACCCTAAACCCTAAATCCTAAACCCTAAACCCTGCATCCTAAACCCTAAGCCTTAAACCCTAAGCCCTAAACGCTAAACCCTATACCTTAAACCCTGAACCCTGAACCCTGAACCCTGAACCCTGAACCCTGAACCCTGAACCCTGAACCCTAATCCTAAACCCTAGACCCTAGACCCCAGACCCTAGACCCTAGACCCTAAACCCTAAACCCTAGACCCTAGACCCTAAACCCTAAACCCTAGACCCTAAACCCTAAACCCTAAACCCTAAGCCCTAAACCCTAAACCAAAACACCAAAATCCATCATTCGGGCGAACCTTTTTGTCTTCAAGCCTCAGGTAGCCCAGGAACCAGGATGCCATGCAATGATGGGCAGCGAACGCTGGCGCAGACACAGCTAGACCTTCGTTCGGTGTGCCGTATGTTAAGGATGTTTGAAGGAGTCAGAGGTTGAGGGTGTAATGCATATGTATAGATTAGGAGCCTACACAGGGTGCAGAAACTGCATCTACAAGCGCCCTTGGGCGGTCGTGTTTCGAATCAGTGCCTCTGGGGTGATTTGCCCTGCTTCGTCTCAAGTTCAGTAGCCAGGTCGGTGAGTTGAGAACCTCAGACTTACATCTGCGCTCTAAACCAAACCCTGTGCAGGCTCCAGTACATACACCACCCACCTCACAGCTCCCTAAACCCTAAACCCTAAACCCAAAACACTCCGTTCTCATTGAAAAGCAGGAAAGTCCGCCTACAGCGCCGCTGCTGGGGAAGTCCCTCCACTTGCCGCTTCGCGACTCTCCCCGAACTGATGTCACCTGCAGCAGCAAAGGGCTTCATCTTCGAGCAACCGGGTTTAGGGTTTAGGGTTTAGGGTTTAGGGTTTAGGGTTTAGGGTTTAGGGTTTAGGGTTTAGGGTTTAGGGTTTAGGGTTATAATTATTGTTGTGATTAGTAGTAACTAGTATCATCAGTATCTTTAGCTTCGCTATCTGTGCCGATTATTGTTGTTATTGCCAGTACCTAGTAGTATCAGTATCTTTAGCTTCGCTGTCCTGAACCAATTTTTTCCTAGCTGTCCCGGGCCACGAAGTTCAGAATGGGTGACAATTGCGACTTCTATTGCCAGATGCAAAACAAGGGGGATTGCCCTAAACCCTCAACCCTCAACCCTAAACCCTAAACCCTAAACCCTCAACCCTAAACCGGCATGCCAGCTTTGCTTGGTCAGGTTCGCTCCCATTTCGACGAAGTGTTTGCTGTTATCGATGCGGCAAAGAAAGCCCGCAAGGGGCGGGCGCTCATCCATTGCCACATGACTGACTTCATTCTGCCATCCAGGTTTAGGGTTTAGGGTTTAGGGTTCAGGGTTCGGATTTAGGATGAATTTAGTCAGGACTAAAGATCCTCAATCCTATACACCTTGGTTCATAGACTTGGAATTAGTTCCCTGTTCTTCCTGCCGTCAACGGGCAGTAGGCTTCTCTGTAGCATGCGCAAACCTGAATTGGATGTCGCGCGCTAGGTTCTTATCACCGTCCAGGGCTTCGCAAAGATGAAGATAAACTAGCTCATTCTTCGCCTCTTTATTGCATGTCGGGAAGGTTTGATTCTCGCTAACAGGGGGTAATATAATGTCCTTAAAGGAATTGAACAAAGTTCATTCTAGTATACGTAATGATATAGGGATCATAAGGAAATACTTTTACTAATTATTCCGACCCCTTTAGTAGACTGTAGAACATGTTGTCTTGCAGGTTCTGCGTGTATGCCGGTTCAGAATGCCAGAGCATCCGTCAAAATACTCCTCCCAGAAGCGATCACTCTTGTTGTCGATCAAAGCATGCCCAGCATGAATCCCATGCGCCACATCCTGCAAACTGCCTCCTAAACCCTACACGCGAAACCCTAAACCCTAAGCCCTAAACCCCAAACCCTAAACCCTAAACCCCAAACCCTAAACCCTAAACCCTGATTCATCCCAGGCTATGAAGGCAAGAACAGGCCTCTGCTCTGTCCATGCATGCTGCATGCTGCCTAAGCCCGAAGCCCAAAAAGAAAAAAAGGTCACCTGCTGAACCCAAAGTCTTAAACCCTAAGCCCTATAGGGTTCAGGAAGTGAAACACAAAAACGGTTCCGGACCTTCAGAATCGGGGGATGGGTGGGCAGTACGGTCTGTCATGAAGACAAGAATTCCCATCAACTGTCGATCCTTAACCCCCTGAACCCTAAATCATACAGGTAGCCCAGGGGTACCCCCTTCCCTTTTCTTGGTTCAAGGTTCCCCTATAAAGTAGCCAACCCCCCAAAAAGGGTGCCCTGACTGTAATCAGCTTACTGGGCTACCAAGTACTTCACTCCGGCCCGAATCCTTAGAGGGTTTAGGGTTTAGGGTTTAGGGTTTAGGGTTTAGGGTTTAGGGTTTAGGGTTTAGGGTTTAGGGTTTAGGGTTTAGGGTTTAGGGTTTAGGGTTTAGGGTTTAGACCCGACAGAGAAATATTTGGCAGCTTGGTGGCTGGGCTCGGGGTTTTGAAACTTATCCCCCCTTCTAGTTCCCCCTTCTACTAACAATCCAAAATAGGGATTTAGGGTTTAGGGTTTAGGGTTTAGGGTTTATAGTACCCCGTATTATATATAATCCCTATTAAGGACTGTTAGTATGAGGAGGAACCTCCCAACTTATCCCCCGGCAGGTGAGTGGCTCTGGGCTCAGTTGACTCTGCCAAGACACCTTAGGTCTCAGCGGAGAAGCTCAACTTATGGTACCCCCTGATCAAATATCAGCAAGAAGCCAAACCCTAAACCTTAAAGCCTAAACCCTAAACCCGAAACCCCAAACCCACGCGAGGCATCCCCGGCGAGCCTAGAGCCTAGACCCTAGACCCTAGACCCCAAACCCTAAACCCTAAACCCTAAACCCTGAACCCTGAACCCTAAACCCTAAACCCTAAACCCTGAACCCCTTAATCCCCTCAACAACACCTGCAGCCCAACATTAGAGGAGCGCCGTCTTCGTGATCGCTTACTGCATGAGAGAGGCCGGCCCTTTCAAAAAGCACCTTCAGAACTGCAGGGTTTTAGGACCCTTTTGGGGTCTCCCAATAGAAGGCTCCGTATTACAGCCAGGAGCCCTCAGGGGGGGGGGGGGGGACAGCAGTTGGAGTCTCCCGCGGGAGCTGCAAAAACTCCGAATTCAGGAATCTGCTTTGCAGCGGAATCGGGCTCAGGGTTTCGGATTTAAGGTTTATGGTAAAGTTTAGGGCTTAGGTTGCAAGAATATGACTAGGATCCTGAGCAGGCCCTTATTCCATTTGTTTAGGGTTGAGGTTCCCTGAGAAGCCCCTGTAAACCAAAAAGGGCACCCTATGTATTCCTAGGTTACTCTTGGGTCTAGTAGCCCTAAACCCTAAACCCTAAACCCTAAACCCTAAACCCTGAACCCTGAACCCTAAACCCTAAACCCTAGCAACTGATTTTATGCACATTCCCGAATTCCTCCTCCCTCCCAAGACTCCTGAAGCTTTGCATCCTGAATCCCCCGGGGCAGTTGGCTTGACGTGAAAACCTAAACCTTCCCTAAACCGCAAACCCTAAACCCAAAACCCAAAACCCTAAACCCTACACCCTAAACCCTAAACCCTAAACCCTAAACCCTAAACCCTAAACCCTAAACCGCAAGGAGAAAGCGACCTTGAGGGCAGCCTTCGAGCGCGTGAAGGCAATCCGACCCCTCGTGGATCCGCACCGCGGCGGAGCTGTCGTTCTTGGGGCCTACTGACTGGTTTGGGTTTAGGGTTTAGGGTTTAGGGTTTGGGGTTTAGGGTTTAGGGTTTAGGGTTTAGGGTTCAGGGTTTAGGGTTTAGGGTTTAGGGTTCAGGGTTTAGGGTTTAGGGTTTAGGGTTTGGGGTTTAGGGTTTGGAGTTTGGAGTTTAGGGTTTCGGGTTTGCGGTTTAGGGTTTGGGGTTTGGGGTTTAGGGTTTGGGTGCAGGCTTCAGGGTTTAAGGTTTGAGCTTTCACGGGGATGTTTGCCCTCAACCTAGGTCGATTAGAGGGTCTGGGTGTTTAAGAAACCCTAAACCCCAAACCCTAAACCCGAAACCCTAAACCCTAAACCCTGAACCCTGAACCCTAAACCCTATATAAACTTTTCTGAAGCCCTAAACCCTAAACCCTGACCCCTAAACCCTGACCCCTAAACCCTGACCCCTAAACCCCAAACCCCACACCCCACACCCCAAACCCCAGACCCCAAACCCTAAACCCAAAACCCTAAAACCCTAAACCCTAAACCCTGGAATGGACTCAGCGTGTAGACTCTGGGGTCTAGAATGGGTTGGAACATGACTTTGGAAGCATGGTTTAGGGTTTAGGGTTTAGGGTTTAGGGTTTAGGGTTTAGGGTTTAGGGTTTAGGGTGGAACGAGTGTGCCGGTGCAGCGTGCCAGTAGCGGGCTTCACAGCCTCACCCTCTCAGGCTTTGAGTTTGTGTATAAAACAGACATACATGTATATGACAAGTCCTTATGTCATGGCACTCGCAACCTTCTGCGGTATGCTAGACGTAACGGGCCGCGGTATAGCACGGTCCCCATAGGGACTTTACTCATTTCCAGAATACGGACGTTTAGGGTTTAGGGTTTAGGGTTTAGATTTTTAGGGCTTCGTGTCGAGGCTTACTCTCCTAGCACGAAGCCTCCTACACCACTCCACCTAGGACCCAGACCTGACTAGGGCCTTATTCCCCGTTTTTTGGGTTTAGGTTCTCTTATAAGCCCCTTTAAACCGAAACCTAAACATTTTTTTTTCACAGTTACTCTTGAGTCTAGCTGCGCAGCCATCCCTGAGGAATGTTGGGTTCATGAAGCAGCTGCGGGACTATGAGGCTGGCAAGCAATACCCCTATAAACCCAAAATGGTCTTCCTCAAGGGTTTAGGGTTTAGGGTCTAGAACTTAAACCGTAAATCCATTTTGGTCCCAGGTTGCTTGGGAATGTAGCTTAGGGTTTGCAGACCTGGGCTGGTTTCAGGGTCGGCTGCATTCCTACTTGGAGGTTCATGGGTACTTATACCCTAGTTGTATAGCCCTAATTTAATTGTAAGTCTACTTACAACCTACTCAGGGGACATAGGGGGGCTTATAGAAGCATAGTTATGCTTGGGGCTAGAAGTACCCATGAACCTCCGGGTTCAAGGTTGGGATTGAAGGGTTTTAGGGTTTAGGGTTTAGGGTTTAGGGTTTAGGGTTTAGGGTTTAGGGTTTAGGGTTTTAGGTTGAGAGCTAATACTGCATTTGCCGATCTTGTCAAGATAGAATCCCTTCCGGCCCCTCGCATGAAAAATTCTTTCTAGGCCCTATCAACTCTTGTACAAAAATCGAATATCCACCGCCTCCAGTGCCATTCTGATTGGACAGGCCCCTCCATGTCGCAGCCTGGTATGGTTGAAGGTCTTCAGAGTCGGTTTAGTACCCAGAGCTGACAAGAGGGCGCTCTGAAGCTTTCAACCCTCTGAACCCTAAACCCTAAACCCTTTAAGCCCTAACCCTAAACCCTAAACCCTAAACCCTAAACCCTGTAAGCCCCAACCCTAAACCCTAAACCCTAAACCCTTTAAGCCCTAACCCTAAACCCAAAACCCTAAACCCTGAATTCTAACCTCATTCTTGCTTAGGTGGAGATCCTGGGAGTCGGTGCAGAGATCTCCTTGCCGCTGTCACCAGAGGTTCGTGTATGCCTGTGTTGATGATTGTGATGCTTACCTCTGTGTTCCCTAAACCCTAAACTCTAAACCCTAAACCCCAAAGTCTAAACCCTAAACCCAAAACCTTGGGGCAGGACTGCTGCGATCTCCTTGACATGGAGCTGCTCCTTCGCCTGCAGAAAGTAGGGTTTAGGGTTTAGGGTTTAGGGTTTAGGGTTTAGGGTTTAGGGTGTAGGATCTAGGGTTTAGGGTTTAGAGTGTCTCAATGAGTGGGCGCGCTGGTGCTGAAAGCACCAAGGCGCGCGCCCCGAGTTGCATAAGCCCACCCCCGCTGGCGCTCCACCCTCGCCTTAACCTCTACGGGTTTAGGGTTCTTTTGAACTCTGATCGTGCTTTTGTTATTTTTCTCTTGTCTATTGGTTGGGTTTAGAAGCTCGGCATCGATGCCGATCAACTACCCTGAAGCTCGCAGCCCCTAGGCATTGCAAGGGAGATGTCTATCAGTCGAGGGCTGCTGGGAGAGCCAAAAGTCAGAGGTTTGGGCTTGGGGTTGGCTGCCGCCTTCGCCCTCTGTGATGCTGCGTGTTGGGCGGGGGTTGGAAAACTTGCTTGGAAGGGCGTGAAATCAGAAGTTTGCCTCATTCGAGGGCTTCTGGGAGGGCCAAAAAGTCAGAGGTTTGGGATTGGGTTGGCTGCCGCCTTCGTGCCCTGAAGTCAAAGGGGTGGGATGGGCGGTTGCTGCTGCCTTCGCTTTCGCTGATGCTGCAGCTGGACCTTGTTGGAGTCGTGGTGGCCTTGTGATTCATTTTAAAAGTGAAAAACCCAAAAGGTTTGGGCTTGGGGCTGGCTGCCGCCTTCGCCCTTGGTGATGCTGCGTCTTGTTGGGGATCTGGATCCCTAGCTTGAAAGGGCCAGGCACCTCAGGCCAAGGCCTGTTTTTCAGGCAGGGTAAGCAGATCCAGTCCCAGGCAGGGGGCCACAGCCTCCCAGCAAGTTTTTCTCAAACTTAAAAACCCGAAGGTTTGAGGCAGCGCCCACACAGGCGACCTCGAATAAAGGGGGGCTCCCGGCAAGGGTCTTTTAGGCAGGGGCTCAGGCAGGGGCCTCCCACACAGGGGTCTTTTAGGCCTCCCAGGCAGGGGCCTCCCAAGCAGAAGCCTCCCAGCTGCAGTCAGGGCCTTCCAGGCAGGGCGGGGCCCTTGCCAGGGGCCTCCCAGGCAGCCAGGCACCTCCCGCAGGGGCCTCCCACACCAGGCCCCTGTCCCAGGCAGCCTCCCAGGCAGGGCCTCCCAGGCCAAACAGGGGCCTCCCAGGCAGATCCTTTTCAGGCAGGCAGGGGCCGCCTCCAGACATGGCCCTCCCACACAAAGGCCTCCCAGGCAGGGGCCTCCCAGGCAGGGGCCTCCCAGGCAGGGGCCTTCCAGGCAGGGGCCTCCCAGGCAGGGGCCAGCCCCAGCCCGCGCTGCCTGCGGGACTGGAGCTCCGTCGCCCGCCGGAGGGCTTCTGGCTCCGGAGCGGCCTCGCCTGCCGGCTTCGGCGCGTTCGCCCTGCTCGACGGCCCCGGGCTCACTCAGTTTAGAGCTTCGGTGAAGCCTTAATGCTCGAAACCCCGTTACCCCCAAAGCCCCAAACTTTGAACCCTATAAGCCCTAAACCCCCTGAAAACCCTAACCCCCTAAGCCCCCCCCCCCCCCCAAAAAAAAAAAAAAAAAAGAAAAGCCCCAGACCTAGACCCTAACCTCAAACCCCAAGCCCTAAACCCTAACCCCCAAACCCGAACAAACCCTAAACCCTAAACCCTAAACAATCGCGGCTCGTGGGAGGATCTCGCCGGAGCATCTGGGCACGTACACAGACCAGGACGAGCTCCGGTACCGGGCCTGCAGTCTTCCTTTCGGAAAGTTTAGGGTTTAGGGTTCAGGGTTGAGGGTTCAGGGTTAAGTTTTTAGGGTTTAGGGTTTAGGGTTTAGAGTTTAGGGTTGAGGGTCTCGGGTTTAGGGTTTAGGGTTTAGGGGCTAGGGTAGGTGCTGAGACGCATAAGCCACTGCAGGTGAGGTAGTGGATTGCGCTGTTCCAAATGCATCCATGTCTCACAACGTTTACACGCAGAGACTTTTTAATGCGCAGGCAAGAACAAAGCAACAAAAGAAAGTCTGTAGTGTCTTGTGCTAGTTGGGCTTAGCACCTACAACGTGTTACTGTACATGATGTGTTATTAAAAGTGTTCATGCTCAAGGTTTGGGCCTCAAGCACAGGGAGAACACACTGCAGCTGACTAAGGTTACGAACAGGCTAGTGCACTTCAACAGCAGGGCTTCTGAAGGGTTTAGGAGTTTAGGGTTCGGGGTCATAGGGATTAGGCTTTAGGCTAAACCTTAAACCCTACGCCTAAACCCCAAACCCCAAACCCCAAACCCTAAACCCTAAACCCTAAACCCTAAACCCTAAACCCTAAACCACCGTAAACCCCCCTAAACCCCTACACGCCTCAACACCCACGGCAACCTTGGCTGCCTCAGGTACGAAGGAAGGACCTTGGCGATCCGCTCCCCAGCCGTGTCGGAAAAAATGCGGACCTGAAATCACGCAAGGGGTTTAGGTTTTAGGGTTTAGGGATTAGGGTTTAGGGTTTAGGGCTTAGGAGGGTTTAGGGGTTTAGGGTTTAGTTAGGATTAGGGTTTATAGGGTGGGTTTATGAGGGTTCATAGGGGTTTATCGGCGGCTCTATCGGGTTTGTCGGGTTTGTAGGGTTTATCGCTTTGGTAGGGTCTGTAGGGTTTAGGGACTGCGGGTAGAGGAGTGACGTAGCACCCTGGCGGTAGCCCAAACCCTAAACCCCAAGCCCTGAACCCTAAACCAAGCCCCAAACCCCAGACCCGAGATCCCAAACCCTCAACCCTATGTAGGCCTCATTTTCTCCCCAAGCCCTCAACCATTGAGTCGCCACTCTTGGCTCTCCGGCCCTCAGACCCTCCCAAAGAAAACTAGAGCCATAAAGTCTACAAAGCCTGAAAGCTACCCTAAACCCTAGACCCTAAACCCTAAACCCTAAACCCTAAACCCTCAACCCTAAACCCCTTCAAGCCCAAGACCTCCTGTTTGTGGGCGAGGGTTTGCTGATGCTTCAGCACTTTCGGGCTTCCGGTCCTCAAATTCCCTATAAGCCACCTAAACCACCAAATTTTGGGTTTAGGGTTTAGGGTTTAGGGTTTGGGGTTTGGGGTTTAGGGTCCAGGGTTTAGGGTTCAGGGTTCATCCAGGGGGTTTGGGGTTCCTAAACCCTCAACCCCCAAAACCCCTTGAACCAACTACAGCTTGGTCCTTCCTGCGCCGTGGCCCATTCAGCTTAGATGCAATGTAGCAGAGCAGTTGACCCCCATGATGATATCTTCTCCAGCGGTGACGGTGACGGCGATCACCTCCACCATCTCGGCGCCTTGTCGGAACGCAAGGAGAAACCCTAAACCCGAAGCCCGAAACTGTAAACCCCCAAGCGATACACCCGAACCTTGGGATGTTCTCCCTTATACTAACAGCCCTTAATGGGGACTAAATGGGGGGCGCCTATAATCCCTAGTCCCTGAACCCCACCACGGACGGCGAGGAGATGTAGCAGGGGCACCTTTTCCGCTTGAACCCCCCCAAATCCCTGAAGTCCAAAACGGTTTGGGGTGTAGGATTTTGGGTTTAGGGTTCAGGGTTGCGGTTCGGTTTGTTCCGAGTTTTGGCCATGTGGACTTCAGAGTTTTGGGATTTCTGGGCTCCGGTTTGGGGTTTAGGGTTTACAGTTTACAGTTTAGGGTTTAGGGCTTAGGGGTTCGGATTTTATGTAAGGGTAGTTGCATGGTCCCTTAGTGTGATTCCGTACCTTCCTTGAAGGGGTTCTGAGGTATGGGCCGTAGCACTAAACTCTAAACCCTAAACCCTAAACCCTGAACCCTGAACCCTGAACCCGAAACCCTAAACCCGGAAACCCTCGTCACCACCCCAAAGGTGTACCGTAGGAGCTTTAGCTGCAGAGAAGGATGCCCCAAAGGAAGGGAGGATGCCGCCCTCCACCCAAAAACCCTAAACCCTAAACCCTAAACCCTAAACCCTAAACCCTAAACCCTAAACCCTAAACCCTAAACCCTAAAGCACCGCCCTAAACTCTCAATCCTAAGCTCTTATCCCCAAGCCTTAGACCCTATCGTACTATCATAGGCCCAACTATGAAGCCCTCAACCCCTTAAAATCGATGTGGGTTACAAAGCAAAAAGCCCTGCTATTTATAAGCCCTCCTACAAGCCCCTATGTTCAGCCCCCTAAGCCTGAACCATAAACCCTAAACCCGAAACCCTAAACCCTAAACCCGAAGCCCTAAACCCTAAACCCCAAACCCCTGAAGCAGCCCTCCTAAGTCGTCCACGATCCTCACCACTGACGATCTGCTGGCGGATCTGGAGCCCTTTTTGCTGCGCGGGGCGCCGCTGAACGTGGTTCTCGGAGCCTGCGGGAGGCGACCGGGGGGCGGGGGGGGGGGGAAGCCAAGGTTTTAGAGGTTTAGGGTTTAGGGTTCAGGGTTAGGGTTTAGGGTTTAGGGTTTAGGGTTTAGGGTTTAGGGTTAGGGTTAGGGTTTAGGGTTTAGGGTTTAGGGTTTAGGGTTTAGGGTTTAGGGTTTAGGGTTTAGGGTTTAGGGTTTAGGGTTTAGGGTTTAGGGTTTAGGGTTTAGGGTTTAGGGTTTAGGGTTTAGGGTTTAGGGATCCGGCTTCAGGCGTCAGGAATTACAAAATATGCTCGTTGAGTGCATGTAAGGTTGGTTTCTCTTTCCCAGAAGGGCACCCAAGATATTCACTCACCATGATTCCTAGGGAAAATGCCTACCCCAAAACCCTAAACCCTAAACCCTAAACCCTAATCCCTAAACCCTAAACCCGAAACCCTAAACCCTAAACCCACGCTACATGAAGTAGGGTTCGGGGTATAGGGCTGAGGGCTTAGCCGCGCGGAACCGTCAGAGGTATTGGCAGCAGGAGAGCACCCAGTCCCAGGCCGCTGGGCGTGAGCATGGGGTTTAGGGGGTTGGGGTAGGGTTTAGGGCTTTAGGCTTTAGGCTTTAGGCTTTAGGCTTTAGGCTTTAGGCTTTAGGCTTTAGGCTTTAGGCTTTAGGCTTTAGGCTTTAGGCTTTAGGCTTTAGGCTTTAGGCTTTAGGCTTTAGGCTTTAGGGTTTAGGGTTTAGGGTATAGGGTTTAGGGTTTAGGGTTTATGGCTTAGGGTTAGGGTTTAGGGTTTAGGGGTTTGGGACCCTCAATCTTAATCCTGAACCCTGAAACCTGCAGCCTGAATCCCCAACCAAACGTTGAGTCTTGCGACCACGAAAGACCGAAAGGTGTAGATCAGGTTCTCAAAGAGACTTCCAGCCTAGGCCCCTGTGAAGCCCTAGACCCCTAAACCCTAAACCCTAAACCCTTCAGCCTCCGATGTTCCCTGGGCCTGGCAGTCGGTGGCTACTCTGATGGTCCGTTCAAGTCGGGTCTAGGGTTGAAGGGCCCTTTGAAGACATGGGCCAAACCCGAAGCCAGACTAAGCCTTCATTCAACCCCGAAACCCCGCACCGGAATCCCTAAACCCTAAACCAAACCCTAAACCAAACCCTAAACCCGAAACCCTAAACCCTAAACCTCAATCCGAACGCCCCGTCAGGTCAACAGGCTGACAAGGCAATCAGATCGATACGATTATTTTCTAAGCTCCTGGGCGGCACTTTGGAATAGCTTTCAATCTGAAGGTTTCTTGATTTAGGGCTTTAACTTTTTTTCGTGAGATCTGAGGTTTAGGGCACTTTCTTCTGCTTCTTTGTTTTATTCGTTGGGGGGCAGAGAGGGGTGTGGCGTTTGAAGTTCGATGGAGTAGATGTGGGCCCCTGAAAAAGGCCATGATTGGGGAACGAGCGCCTGGCTCAAGTACTTCTCCTTACTCATATACTACAACTCTGCTGCAGCGACGCTGGCCACGACCGTGGTCAGCACTTCGCTGGGAGTTTGTGCAGCCCTTGGGGTGGTGCCTGAGATTGCCTGGATGCCCGTGTTCGGAAGCTCAGCTCGATTACAGGGGGCGCAGTTGCATCCTAGCTGAGGTTTCAACGTGGGGAATCTAAACCCTAAACGCTAAATCCTAAACCCTAAACCCTAAACCCTAAACCCTGAACCCTGAACCCTAAACCCTAAACCCTAAACCCTAAACCCTAAACCTCCAGGATATGGGGTGTTTTTCATCTTCCTCTTTCACTGGCAGCATATCCGTCGGCTTGTGCGGCCGATCGTCGTCTTCCTCGACAAGCTTTGCATTCCGCAGGATGACGACGACCTGAAGGTGCGGCTTAGAGTTTAGGGTTTAGGGTTTTGGGTTTAGGGTAAGGGCTTAGGGCCTAGGGGTTAAGGGTTTCGAATCTTGCCGTTTGCGGGCAAAGCCCTGACACATGTGGCCAGCTCTCTATACATGATGTTTTTTCCCCACCCTCGGTGTGGGGTTGTTAGATTTTAAGCTCAACTCTTCTCCTCGCCCGGAACTCTTCTCCTCGCCCGGTCTACTCCTCGCTCATCCCTGGTGTCCCTGGAGTGCCCAACTCTAGAGTGTGCCTGGAGTGCCCAACCTCAGATAGGCCCAACCCCAGAGTCTATTAAATTTGTGTTTTATAGTGTTTATATGTGACACAACAATATTTAGCTTCAATTTATGTTTGCAAATAAGAAAGATAAAGCAAAAAGACAAAGTATAGCAAGTGATAATTCCGATTTATTTCTAAATCATTTAGGAAAATCAATGGGTATTTATACACTCTGTCAGCTGTACAGTACCTCCTCGTGAGCCTGGCCTGGTAAGCTTGTTTCTGCTCGTGGGTGAATAGTCACGTAACATTGGCGGTCTTCCTTTCACTTATCTGCTTGAACCGAGAATTGAACGATTGGAACCATCGTCTGGACCCGCATATACATCAATGAACATCACCGTTGCTGGAGCAAATTTCGACAGAATGCTGCTTGAAGATATGTTTCATCCAAAATTCCTTGAGAAGATCCTCACAGCTCGTGCCCGTATCAGGTATCCATGTGTCCTCTTCCGGCCCATACCCTTTCCATCTCAATAAATACAACCTCTCTTTTGTTGTTCCGTCGACTTTGGTCTTCAACACCTTTTCTACTTCATGAACATCTGAGTCATCACCGGAATCCTCTACATTCTCTTGCTTGTGCTCAGGAAGAGGTTCGGGCTAGGGTGCCCAACCCCAGAGTGTGCCCGGAGTGCCCAGCCCCAGAGTCTCCCACCCCAGAGTCTCCCTGGAGTGTCCAACCCCAGAGTCTCCCTGGAGTGCCAACCCCAGAGCTAGAGTGCCCAACCCCAGAGTGCCCAGCCCCAGAGTCTCCCTCGAGTGGCGCCCAACCCGCAGAGTGTTGCTGGAGTGCCCAACCCCAGAGTATCTCCACCAAGAGAGGGTGGGGATGTTCGAAGTAAAATAATTTTGTTTGGCTGCCTTAAACACATGGACCGCTAGTTTCGGAGAGGATGAGCACCTCACATCCAGGCATGCCGAACATATCCATTGAAATTCTTGCCATCAACTACAGAAGCAACTGTATACATGGAGATTGTTCAGGACCCTAGACTAAACCCTAAACCCTAAACCCTAAACCCTAAACCCTAAACCCTAAACCCTAAACCTTAAACCCTATAACCCTTAGCCCTAAACCCTAAACCCTAATGTTAACCTCACATTTATAAATGGGGTGGTAATTGCAATATTCGCCGGGCCAGAGGGCCCCAGCCGAAGACTACTTTCCATTGCGGGAGGTTCCGAAATCTATAAACAAGTAAGTCTATATAGGGGGGTCCGGTGAAGATGAAAATGGGGTGACAACTGCAGTATTTTTCCGGCCAGGAATGCACATTTTTACTGAACATGGGATTGCAGAGAAGACTTGTCAGCTGAGCTGGCTTGAAAGAGCTCCGAGGCTCAGTCTTTCGAGAAGCAGATCTCGTTTGAGATTGCTTGCCTTTTGAGATTGCTGCAGCTCCAGAGCTGCGAGAAACTGCTGCTTCAGGCCCGTTTCTTCAGACCCCCAGAAGACCCCCAGATTCCAATTGTTGACACCCCCTCTTTTTTCTGACCCCCCCAAACCCCGCGGACGAAAACACGATTGGGGGCGGGGGGGGGTTTATTAAAGCGACGTTAACATTAAACCCTAAACGCTAAATCCTAAACCCTAAACCCTAAACCCTAAAAAGGCGAGATGTATCTTCGGCCTAGCCGGCTTCTTGGACCAGGCACAGACGCGCCTTGGCACGCCGTTCGTGCTCAGATAGGGTTTAGGTCTACGGTCTGGGGTCTAGGGTCTAGGGTCGAGGGTCTAGGGTCGAGGGTCTAGGGTCTAGGGTCTAGGGTTTAGAGTTTAGGGTTTAGGGTCTAGGGTTTAGGGTTTAGGGTTTGGGGTTTGGGGTTCAGGGTTTAGGTTTTAGGGTTAGGGCACAAAGGGCTCACATTTGAACATTTCAGGGTACGCGAGCTGAGAATGACGTGCTCAAACCTTGCACCGGACATCCTAAACCCTAGACCCTAGACCCTAAACCCTAAACTCGGACATCCGAAGACTCGCCGAGGCTTGTCGTTCTTTGGTCCCCCCGGTACTTTGCGCGATTGTGGTGTGCCTCGGTCGAGCCTGGAATCACAGGTTCTCGGCTCTAGTCTAAACCCTGAACCCTAAACCCTAAACCCCACACCCTAAACCCTAAACCCTAAACCCTAATTTTAGGGTGGCTTCTGCAGGTTTCAATCTGTTGCAGTGACGGAGACCCCGGAAACCAACAAAGAAGAGCTTGGTCTTTAAGGTTCCAGCCAGCGTTCAGGTTTCAGGTTGGGATGTTTCGCTTATACTAACCGTCCTGAATAGGGACCCCCCATCCCCTGATAAGAACCTCTATTACAGGACTGTTGGTATATGGCGGAACATCCCAAGCTTCAGCGTTTGGAGTTTAGGGTTTTAGGGGTTTAGGGTTTGGGATCAGGATCGTCGATTCCCTCTGGCTTGCAGCCTCTTGCAGAGATTGTGATGCTTCGTAGTGTTGCAGCCGCAGGGCAGCGGCCGTGATCAACGGCGCAGACCCAGCAGTTAGTTTCAAACATATACTTTTCAACAACAGTGGAGGAGGTCTATAAATTAGTACGGCAGCCTTTAAAAAGCACCCCAACAGGAACCCGAATGTAGGGAACTACACATTTGCTTCTTCTTTTAGAGGCAGCGTCTTGGTCTGGGTTTGTTGCGGGAGCTTTATGTTGCAGCCATAGCCTCCGCCAGGCACCTATGAGATTGCAACGTGGTTGAAAAACCGGAGGGAGCGGAAGCCCGTGGTGTTCGTTCCCGTGCAAATCTCCATTCTCTTCATGATCTGCTTTACAGTCGTCAGCATTCTGCAAGCGACGCCGACCATAGCCAGAATCACATTGCTGCAGTCTCAAGCGTCGGAGCCTCGTCTGCCAAATTAACTAAGGGTTAGGGTAGCCCGAAAACCCTCTGAAACAGAAGCTAAGCCTAAGACCTAGAACACGCAATTCAACCCCCCATCAAGCCCTGCCAATTGGGAAGGCAAAGCTTGCTTGAATGTACTATAGGAGACCGAATAACTACGACTAGTATTCCCCTTATGGTCCGTATATCACTATACCATTATAATCCCTCCGAAGAAAAAGAACTTTAGTTATTCCGGCCCCGATATTTGCAAGGTAAATCAAGCTTGAACGTACAGTTATCGCCGTCCTTCTTTTCAATCTGCAACATCAGAAACCATCGCACAGAGCCCAAAAAACCTCAAACTGCAGCCCTAAACCCTAAACCCTAAACCCTAAAACCTAAAACCTAAGCCCGAAACCGGCATCTCTGCCAGCCTATAGACCCAAGCCTCATAACTTTGCAGTCTAAACCCATTCCTCAAGAACCCAAGTTGCAAGAATCCTACTGCACGAAAGCAAGGCTTTGGGCTCTCGAGGTCAGCTACTCTGGTTGAGGGTCGAGGATTCAGGGTTTAGGATTTCGGGCTCGAAACCCTAAACCCTAAACCCTAAACCCTAAACCCTAAACCATTTGGACCCCAAAGCAGGTTCCCAAAAGCACACTTGGAGGTTCAGGGTACTTATACTTATGACCCAACTCGAACCTTCTTAGGGCACTTAAGGGGCTGTAGGGTTTAGGGTTTAGGGTTTAGGGTTTAGGGTTTAGGGTTTAGGGTTTAGGGTTTAGGGTGGCTCAGAAGTGGGTTAGAAGTACAGTTATGACTGGTTACATAAGTACCATGAACCTCCAAGTAGGGTACCACAGGGAGCGCCCATTTTTTCATCAAGCCCTTGGCTTGCCTGTCTCATCTTGTAAACCCTAAACCCTAAACCCTAAACCCTAAACCCTAAACCCTCAACCTTGAAAATAGGAGTCCTCCGGTTCAGGAATTAGGGGCTCTACAAGGAGGGGCCCCCTTACTAGACTAACTATACCTACTACATACGACCTAGGTTAGAATCCTTACCCCAACGGTTTAAGGTTCAGGGTTTAGGCTTTAGAATCGCGGCCAGCAGGGTCTAGTTCATGTCATGTGGGGCACAGGAGTGGACCGTGGACGCGATCTTCCTTTTGATTGGCAGCAATGTGCCTCGCTCTAACACCCCGAAACCCCAAATCCTCAACAACCCTGAACTCTTCTCCTTACCCAAAACCTAAACCCTTTTCCCTGAAAACATGCGATCCGATCGCCAGTCCTCCCCCTGATGCCCTGAATGCGAGACTGTAAGCTCTAAAACCCTCTAAGCCCCCAAACCCTAAACCCTAAAGCCCTAAACCCTGAACCCCAAACCCCAAAAAACCCTGCAGTCTAAACCCCAAACCCTAAACCCGAAAGACCCCTTCCTCAAGCTTAAGGGGTTCAGGACTTGAAGGCGTTTAGGGTTTACTTAGCCCTAAATCCTAAACCCTAAACCCTAAACCCTGAACCCTGAACCCTAAACCCTAAACCCTAAACCCTAAACCCTAAAGGATTTAGTTTTCTGTCTTGTTTTCAACCTTGCTGCGGGAATCTCGGTGGCTTTTCGGGCAGACTTTTGAGTGAAGGCTACAGGGTTCAGGGTTTAATTAATTGGTTTCGGTTTTGGGGCTACGGCAGATCATGAGGGAATGAAGACGTAACACCCAACCCCCTAAACCCTAAACGCTAAACCCGAAACCCGAACCCGAAACCCTAAACCCGACACCCCAAACCGCGATAAGCCGATTTCTTCTCAAGGTCCTGGTGGCTTCGGTTCTCTTGCCAACATGCTTCTACTTTTGGACGAGT